TCGATATCGACGGATTTTTGTACCATCTCCGGCCCAGACATCTGAAAGCAAGGCGACCGTCGCATATCCTCAAAGTTGCGATCCTGACGACCGAGACTAGGAAGCTCGGAGCCTCAAGCCCTGACCATGCCCACACCAAAACTCTGAACCCCTCCTGTTTAGGGTTTAGGGTCTCGGGTTTGGGGTTTGGGGTTTAGGGTTTGGGGTTTAGGCTTTAGGGTTTAGGGTTTAGGCTCGGGTTTAGGGTTTGGGGTTTCCTCAACCCCAAGGCCTAAACCCTAAACAGACAAGAACCTAAAGAGTCACGAGCCACGTCCGGCCCAGAGTGGACGCTCTACACCGGTGCGGGCTTCGAGATCGACCGCAACGGCTACGCCATGGTCACGCAGGAGCCGAGATTCTGGGGCTCCCAAGTGGAGGGTGTTTCGGGGTGTAGGGTTCAGGGTTTAGGGTTGTGGGAGTTTCCGGGTTCAGGGTTTGGGGTTTTGGGAGTTTCCGGGTTCTGGGTGTTTTGGGCTTCGGGGTTTTGGGAGTAGGGTTTAGGGCAGTTGGGGGTTAGAGTCTGGGGTCCGGGCATTTCCAGCCTCAGGTTATGAATGAGCCATCAGATCCACGAATCTACTACAGCAGCAGCTTTCCGAATTGGCCTAGGAAGCCTCACGTACATTGGAGTTCAGGGGTTCTGTTGCGCAGGTGCTTAGCTTAGCCATGCTATAGATGACAAAAAGACTCTTAAAACCGACCCCAGTGTGTCGGGAGACTTCCGTGCGCCTGTGCAGTTGTCGGACGGCGGCCCCCTGACGGTCTTCTGGGGTGGAGCCATTCGGCAGACACCTACTGTTCAAGATGAGACAAACATGTTTATCCCAACTGGAGTTTCAACGAACAGATCCCCAAAAACTGTAGCATCCTTCACATACGGACCCAGTCAATGGAGCCTCCCCCATATGATCAGTAGAGCTCGAGAAGCCAATCCTCTGCCCTGCGACCCCCAGGATGTGCACCTCCCTAAACATTAAACCCCAGCCCTCAACCCTAAACCCAACTCAAAACCTTAAGCCCTAAACCCTAAACCCCTAAACCCTAAACCCTAGACCCCAAACCCTATACCCCCAAAACCCCGGAGTTCAGTCCATCTCAGGTCGAACCCTCCCGTCCCAACCAGGAGTCTAGAAGGCCCCGATGACAACTGTCTGAAGCCTGTTCGACTACTGGGCTCTTGTTAGGGGATTTAATTTAGGTTACCATAATAAGGATCTATAGCAAAAAATAGGGTTTCCCATATTATGGTACCTTAAACTTGTTAGGGGATTTAATTTAGGTTACCATAATAGGGATCTATAGCAAAAAATAGGGTTTCCCATATTATGGTACCTTAAACTAAGTCCCCTGACCAGAACCCAGAATACCCTGCCACCAAGATGCATCGTAAGCCTCATCTCATGTAGGGGCCTAAATAGTTACCAAGACTATTTTGGGGGCTCCTTATTGTCATTATAGTATAATGGGCCCCAAAACCCTATTCTAATTATTAAGGCCCCTGCATTAGCCCTTGAGAAACCCCAAGCCCTAAACCCAAACCCGGAAACTCCATGTGCTCCACCTCCGAGGTCTGTTCTTGCCAACTAAGGAATTCACGCGCTGCAGGGGGGCTCCTTTTGGGCCTAAGGGCTTCTTAGTTTGTGTCGTAGACCGGTAGACCAGTTTGAGCAAGGCTCCCATGTGTCTGAAGCGAACCCTGGCCAGACAACCCCCTAAGCCCTAAACCCGAAGCTCCTAGCCGATTTAATTAAAGCAGCCTAAACCACGTTGGGTGTAAAGTTCGCGAGTTCGGAACACAGAGGACTGAGGCAGGGTGTGCAGGGGGCGACCGGATCTTGACGCGAAGTGATTTGGGGTTTTGGGCTTCAGAAGTGTTGGGGTTTACCGTAGCATCCGATGCTCTGCATAAACCCTAAACCCTAAACCCAGCTTGCAAGATCTTCTGACCCCCGATCAATGAACCTTCCAAAGCCGCAGAGCCTCCAACACATGTTTAGGGTTTAGGGTTTTAGGTCGTCAAGGGCTCGCAAAAGCACCTGCGCACTCTACAACTCTGCAACCTCAAGCTCTACACACCCCACGATCTTTCAGTCCTCCAACAAAATGCCCTCAAACCACCAGAAAACCCGGTCCCACGCCCAGCTCCCCCAGCCCTAAACCCTAAACCCCCCCAGCCCGCAAGGTCGTGAACACGCGCTTCCAGGAGATGAAAGACACTATCAACCAGGTTGATCCTCGCCTCAAGTTGGAAGTTGGTGCTAGGCGCTTTTTTCTTTTTTAGTTTGCGGGGGGTCGACTTGGGGGCTGGAGGCTTCTGAGGGTGTAGTGTTTTGGGGTGTAATGTGGGGGCCTTACTGATTATGTTTGGAAGAGGGTTTTGGGAGCCCTTTCTACTATGATTGTATAGGTATTTGTTAAGGCCCCATATATTGGAGGCTTTGGAGCTTTTTGTCGTTGGGGCTTTCGGTGTTGGCTTTAGACGCTCGGCTTTGCAACTTATGGCAGAGGCAGTCGACGTTTCAGTTCAACTGGTTTCATAGGGACTTAAAAGCATTTTGCAAGGGGGTTCAGAAAGCGAAAAAAAGACCTTGAGCGCGGGGCTCCTTTGAGGGCTCCATTGCTTTGGGATTTGGGAGCCGAGGCTTCGATAAGGGCTCTATTAAACCCTAAACCCAATTAGGGCTTCATAAGGCTTAGGGTCAGGTTGAGAGTTTCGGGTCCGCTTCCATAAGGGCGTTCATCTATAGAGGGAGTCTTGGGGGTTTGATAGGACTCGAAGAGGGTTATGTAAGGCATAGGGTTTAGGGGTTTAGGGTTTAGTTGTTTGTAAATGGGGGCTTAGGGGTTTAGGATGGTTTAGGGATTCGTGCTCCCGCCAAGCCCGAAACTCGTCGGAGACTCGCTCTGGTCATGGTCCCATCATGTCGCGGAAACCCTAGTGAATGGCTCTGGCATTAAACCTAGGTTGCTGGATAGCCCTTTAATTTCAGGATTGGTTCGAATTTCGACAGCCTGGAACCCTAAGCCCTGAACCTCTACACTCCACAAACCTTCACCACGAAACCCCCAACCTTCAACCTTCAACCCCTAAATACTAAACCCCCGAACCCTGAAGCCCTTAAATCCTAGGCCCTTGACCCTAAACTAGGCCCTAAACCCTTGAACAAGCAGTGATACTCAGCCCGTGACTGGCCCAGACTGATTGGCCCAGACTCAAAAGCCTACCCCTGGAAACCCAAAACCCTAAACCCTAAACCCTAAAAGCCTAAAACGCATGGCCCAGATTCAGAGCTTCCGGGCCATGAAGGTGCCAGAAGGCTCTTTGGGTCGTGAGGCTTTATAGGATTGGAGAAGGCTTGTCCCTAAACCCTAAACCCTAAACCCCTGAAGCCCTAAACCCTAAACCCTAAACCCCCAAAGCTCTAAACCCTAAACCCTAAACCCTAAACCCCTAAAGCTTAAAGCCCTAAACCCCAAAAGATTGCGTAGGGTGGAGGCCTTAGGATTGAGGCTTCCGAGTTCAGGATTGCAGCTTAGGGCATGTTGCATGGTCTTCCCGGTGTTTAGAGCTTAAGGTTTAGGGCGTTTTTGGGTTTCAGGCTTGTCCATGGTCAGCCCTGGCAGCTTACAAAAACTTGGTGTTCGGGCAAGTTTGAAAGAGAGGTTTGATTTTTTCGTGCGTTTTTTACATCCATGCTGTCCTTGCATTCAAGTTCCGAGCTAGTGGTTGGCGAGCTTCTAGTTGTGCGGATTTCGCCTGAGGTTTTGGGGTCGAGGTTGCAGGGGAGGGGTAGTTATCGGCTTCACGATTGAGAACATGGGTCGCAGCGGTACTGAAGCTCAGAAATCCCCAAGCCTCAGCCGTAAGGCGCGCGCATTGTGGACCCTCCCGAAGCAACGCGTAACCACTTGGGCTTGTATAATAAACTCGTGCCTCAGTGTTTAGTCTTCCCTGCTTGACTTTTCAATCATTTCTGTGAGAAACGATGTCAAGAAAAAACGATAACGCCATAATCACTACAAGCCCAGCACAATCCAGCCAGGACCCCAAACGAGGCATTTCCAGTACTGAAGTTGTATACAACCCAGCACAATCCAGCCAGGACCCCAAACAGGCATTTCCAGTACTAAAGTTGTACTACAACCCAGCACAATCCAGCCCGAGCCCCAAACGAGGCATTTCCAGTACTAAGGTTTGATTACAACCAAGCACAATCCAGCCAAGACCCCAAACGAGGCATTTTCCAGTACTGCATTTCCAGTACTAAAGTTGTACTATAGCCAGGCACAGTCCGGGCAGGAGTTAAAACGAGGCACCATACTAAAGTTGTGCTAACATCAAGATTGGCGATTGTGACTGGTAAAACGATGACAAGAAATAAAAAACGATAACCCAATTCCGGGATAGGGAAATTTGTACGGGGGTATTTTGCTACCCCAAATGTGTTTGCATCTCGAGGAGGAGATGCAGTCGCTCTTTGACGACGATGACGAGGCATTTGCAAGCACGTGTGCATGCATACATGTGTGTGTGTGTGTGTGTGCGCGTGTGTGCGTGCGCGGGTGCGTGTGTGCCTGTGTGGGTGCGTGTGTTCCATCCGTCCGTCCGACACCACCCAGAAGTTGACAGGACCTTCTCAGATACGAAGCCCCGTCGACGACAGGCCATGGTCGTGACTGCCTACAAGCGAGGTTGCAAGGTAAGAGCAGCGTCAAAGCCTCTCACTGCGAGTATTTATAGTTGCCTCCCTGACGCACTGCCTGGCTCAAGTCCTTTCCAATTTCCCACTTGTATACATCTTTTGAGCCATCAGAGAGTGTCCAAGATCGCGGACCTGCGCTCGCTCGTCAACTGCCCAAGTCAGCCTGATATCCTTTGGAGCATGGGTTGCTCGCAGAGTTCTGCAGTGATGGATGCAGAAATTCCGGCTATGGGCCCTTCTTTGCCCCCTTCCATCATGGGACAGGGTGCAGACAAAAACCGTGCCGGGAGGAGTGCTTTGATAGTGGAGGGCTGCGTGGAGCTGGAGTGTTCCGGCCCAGCAGTGTCTAAGGATTTTGATTCATTTCGACATATCGCAGATTTGGCAGACCGGCAAGCCATAGAAGAAGGGCGCTCATTGCCTGTCGATCGGGCGACTCACACAGAAGCCGCCCTCCGAACTAGGGCACGCCTCAGAGAGCTGATATCAGATCCAGCAAAGCTGAAGCGAACGGTGAAATTGAGTCGCATGCCCAAAGATCAATACGAGGCTGTCGTGACGGGCATGACTTTGAGCTCCATGGACGTCCAGCAGCTCCGGTGACCTCAGGACCTGATTAGTGTAATTCATTCTCCAAGGGGACCCCAAGTCCTATACCGTTTCACTCACTTTATAGAGCCTTTATCACACCCTTCATCTCGGCCACATCAAGATTTCCGGCTGTTATAGACAAGCTACGAGCCGTGTTGATGTCTTCTTACAAGGATTAACGGTCAACCGCAGCCAACAGAACACTTCGGAAAGCCCAGCTCGGCTGGCACGATGTATTCGGATACAAATACACCCGAAGCAGTCGCAGTCGCACACGAAGCAGGTCGATCAAGTGTCACTCTTTGTGCGAGGCATCGCAACTTGTTTGAAGCTTTGCTGCCTTGCGCAGCGGACACAATCAAGTAGTATTGAGTGTGCAGATTTCACACTTTAGCTCTGCTGGCTTCCAGCGATCTCAGCCTACATAGTTACTAGTATGTGAGAGTTGTTGGATCCGGGCTTTTCGATGAATATAGATCACAGCCAAGTGTAATGTAATCTAGTGTGCTTCAGTGGTGAAAGATCCGCAGCTGAGCATTTCAGAATGCAGCGACTGACAGGTTTGACCTGCAGGTTGAGCACGATGATAGGGTCTGGAGTCCGAGTGGTATTCAGTGCGACAAGCAAAGGAATTCGGCGCTGTGACTTGGTGCAATGCACAAGGTCTTGCTGCCGAGCCAGTCCTTTTAACCGCTGTTCCCGAGAGCCTCCTGCCTTTGTCGATTCTTTAAGGCACGCAGTGTCCGGCACGTTTGAACCTGTCAACATTTTCGCCGGCGCAAGTTGCATACTGGCTTTGTTGCAGCCCTCAACACAGAGGATGCTACAAGTCTTATACAACGGCTCAAGACTGAAAGCTTGCAGGCAGCTGCGATTCGCTTGCGCCAAAAAAAATGCACCGACCGGAATCGAAAGCTCCTTGCGACCCACGAAGCGTCTGGGTCGCGTTCTGTTGCCACGTGTCGCCTGACCTTTCATTGTATTGCCTTCCTCGCACGGGAGTGACATGGAAGTTCCCAACATGGAACATGGGAGTTTGTCGCACTCGCGGCTTTTGTGCCAGCAGGCCGTCCCCCGGAGTGAGCAGTGAGCTGCCGCCGATCTTCAACTGCCATACCACAAGCCCTGGCTGCCAGCCTAGGCGAGATGTGCTCGCCCCACTTAGCCCGCACGGATGAGGATCCAAAGCTTTGAGAATCCGACTCGACGGTGTGCGGACAAAAAGGTGAAGACGAATGCATTCAATTTCTGCACAATTTTAAAGAGCACAAAGGCCTATAGCATGCTTGGCGTGAGAGAGGATATCTGCGGCCTTCTGGTCGCATGAAGCCGACACATGCGACAACACTCCGCCAGTCAAAACAGAAACTGTCGAAGGTTGAAGTCAGCTCCAAACCGAAAACTGGATTTCGGCTTCTCGCCGTTATTCGCTCGAGCACATGCCTGAACATGTTCGCGTGTCAAACTTCGCGATGGGTGACAGGGGACCGGCAGGAATCCTTGGCCCCATACCGTGCATCAGTACACTTTTGTCATATAACTACTTCATGTAAGGACTTGATGACCCGTGCGTAGTCGAAGTTGCACTTTGCTTGAGGAGCTCCCTCGGGTGTTGATGTCCGAGAAGAACTTTGAAATCTGGATCGAGGCCAGAATGTTTAGATCTGATATCCGATAATAGCCGAGATCTGCGGTCAGGGCTGAGCTGCCGTCTCTCAGGACGTCCAGGCCTTGCGCCCCGATGCCCTCCGCGGGGACCTGGCGGCGCTCCAAGCAGGAGCTCCTCTCTTGCGCCAGGCTCCGGCGCTACGCCGCAAGGGTTCGTTCCAGCGGACCGTGGCAGGGGGGGGGGGGGTTTACTGGAGCATGGGCGTTTTCGCTGTTACTTCCTTCTAAACGTTCTTGGTTCTTTGTGGCGAAAGGCTTCATGAGAGATTGGTGGCTGTGTCAAGGCCCAGTCATGTACTGAATCGTTGTGTTTGGGTATGCCGCCGACTCGGACAAACCGGCTTCGCATTCCACAGCACCTCACGGAAAGTTTTATGGGTTACAACTCAGGGATGTCAGTCTCTTGAAGCTAGCAGCTACCCGGACTGGGCAATCGTCCAAGCCGCACCGCAAGGGGTTTCATGCTGCTGGTACAACACGAACTGTGTTGAAATAGCATTTGCAAAACGACTAGACTATGGACGCAACGTCCATGGCTCCAGCCTCCAGCCATCGCTCACAAGAAGTTTGATTCAGACATTTGGCTCAAGCTTCACTTCCAGAAGTGGCGCCCTCTCTCATGCCTCCACCACGCCAGGGCCCTGCAGATTGTTAGTCTGCAACCGTCCCACGGAAACCTATAATATAGGCTTTGACTCAACTTGGATGTCTCCGTAAGATCTTGGGCGGAATTCAATTCTGCGTGGTCCGTAGTTGTACGAAACCATTGGCAACGTAATTCAGAAGGCTCGCTATCAGTCGCAGCAGCCCTGCAATGGGAACCATTGAAGGCAGGCCAGCGGGCGCAAATGCGCAATGCGGCTTTCTGGCGGCCAAGTTTGTTGTGGAGGGTTTCTCAGATGCATGCGCTTCTCGTATCGGCTCATTGAATTCTTGTGAAGTTCGGACTTCTGCAAAGCGCGGAGTGAGAGCGCGCTTCTCTCCTAGTGGATGATATCCGAGCTGTCCTGTTCGATTGCAAGAAGAGAGGGACGACTCGGACTTTGACTCTTGGGCCCAGGCTGTTCCTGCCACTGCGGAGGGGGAGCTGGCGGGCGGCGGGCTTGGATTCCGAAGCGTTTTGAGTAGTCTGCCATGTTGAAGGACCAGGATCAGTGCAGAATATCAGAATGTCCAATTCTGTGGCTGCTTGAGGCCACGGCTAAAGCGCCAAGACTCAGGGGGGGTAGCTGTCGGGAGACCCAGTCAATCAGTCCAGTGCTGGAGGGGAGCAGTCAGAGCAGCGAGCCTCAGCGACCGCACTTTGAACGGGCAACAATATCTATCCGAGCAGGCATTCTATCTGTCCGGAGTTCACAGCACAGAGCCTCGGTCTTTAGAGAGCCTTGCCGGTTTGCGCCGACGCACTTGGGCTTGTAGGAGTCGGAGCGCGAGCAAAGCCCGCAGCCCGGGGAATGGCCTGGTAGTAGGGCAGGGCAGTTAACACAGAGGAAACCAACATGATCCTTCACCTCCACGCTTTTTGGGTTCAGGGAACACAAGGCGATCCTGCCATCAGGTGGGGAGTGGGGAGGGGAGCTCATGCCCCAAGGAAGGAGGAAAAACAGGAAGCGGGTAAGAGCCGGAGAGACCAAAACAAAGAGAGCAAAAGGATAGCTCAGCGCGAGCCAAAGAAAGCTGGACTTTTGGAGGCTGCAGCCGGGCAGGCAGGGAGGGAGGTAGGTAGGTATGTTTATGCAGCCAGCCAGCCAGAGTGAGCGAGCGAGGTAGGTCGGTCGGGTAGGTCGGTCGGGTAGGTAGGCAGGTAGGAAGGTAGGTAGGTGGACAGGCAGGTATCTAGCCAGCAGGTGGGTCATAGGAGTCATGGGAAATCAGGTAGGCAAGTCGGTAGGAAGGTAGGGATGTAATTGAGAGTGCGTGAATGTATCAATGCATAATGCATGCATGGTATGTGTATGTATCCATGCCGCCCATTTGTACTTGTGCGTATGCGTGTATGCAGATGTACTGTACACGTTCATGTACACAAGTACGTGTACATATAGTACATACGCATACATGTACATAGTGTGTATACATACATCTCTCTCTCTCTCTATATATATATATATGCTACCCCCCCCTCATGTACCTACCTTTTTCTGTTCTTTAAATGCATTTTTCCGTGTCAACCCCTTGCGAGGGCTTTAAAACACGTCAATACAGGACATGAAGAAATGTAGAAGTGTGGAGCTAGCTAGGAATGCATTTGTGGTGTTCCTTGGGGGAGTCGGTTGGAGATTGCAAACATCCCAAGTATCGGTCACGCACCAGCCCTGTTCATGTTTGATCGTATTAGTTGCTACTGCTACTAC